CAGGCATGTGCTCTCCAGATCTTGGTCTTAACGTTGTTGATGGTGTCAGAGCTCTCAGCCCCAAGGGTGATGGACTTGCTGGTGTTGTGTAGGTCGCCCCGGCAAGAAGCCTGCCGGGGCTACACGAGTCGCCCCAGCATGGGTGTCGCCGGAGGATGTCCAGCATGCCCTCTGCTCCTTGTTCTTCGAGTATCCACCTTGGTAGTCTTCGTACTTTGCCTTCCCCTGCCTTGCCAAGCCCTGCCGCAGGTGTGGCTGCGACTGACCGTGCACTAGTAAGGGGTACAGAAGTATCCATACTTTTGTACACCGACAGCTTGTGATGGATAGCCCAATACCACACAGTTTTCTTCATCAAATCGTGTGTGATGTAGTTGATAAAAGCAAGCGGTTAACCAAGACAGAGCGTGTGTGATAGTTACATGTATCACACATGATCCTATACATAAACCTGTGTGGGATGTACATATGAACGGAAACGTTTTTCCTGGATTGACTGTGTGGGATGTACATACGAACGGAAACGTTTTCCATGGATTGACTATGTGGGATGTACATAAGAACGGAAATGTATTCCTTGGATTGACTGTGTGTGATATACATACCTACGGAAATGTTTTTCTGGGATTCACTGTGTGGGATGTACATACCTACGGAAATATTTTCTGGGATTCACCGTGTGGGATGTACATACCTACGGAAATGATTGGGTTTCCATGGAGTCACCAGATCACACACGAACTCATTTGGTGTCCCAGGAGGGCCTATCCCCGACGATTTATTGGTCGTGTGGGAGGACCCCCCTATCGCCCACACTCACTTGGCGACAGCTCGAAATATCGTCGTGGAAAGGGGTTTAAAACCGTTTGTATAGCACCGACGCGTACCAGTGTCGGTAATGCACATCATATGAAGTCTTGCAAGCAATGTGACTAATGAGTTAGTTGCGGGGTGATGCACTATGAAACGAGTAAAGAGACTTGCCAGTAACAAGATTGAACTAGGTATGAAGATACCGACGATTGAATCTCGGGCAAGTAACATACCGATGACAAACGGAATAACTATGTTGACATTGCAGTTCGACCGATAAAGATCTTCGTAGAATATGTGGGAACCAATATGAGCATCCAGGTTCCGCTATTGGTTATTAACCGGAGAGGTGTCTCGGTCATGTCTACATAGTTCTCAAACCCGTAGGGTCCGCACGCTTAACGTTCATTGACGATAGGTATTATATGAGTTATGCGTGTTGGTGACCCAAGGTTGTTAGGAGCCCCGAATGAGATCACGGACATGACGAGGAGTCTCGAAATGGTCAAGAGGTAAAGATTGATATATTGGAAGGTTATATTCGGACACCGGAATGGTTTCGGAAAGGTTCAGATATTTTTCGGAGTACCGGGAGGTTACCAGACCCCACCCCCCACGGGGGGGGGGGGTTGTTGGGCCAACATGGGCCATAGGAGAGAAGGGAGGCAGCCCACAAGGGGTGGCCACGCCCCATCCCATGGGGAGTCCGAATTGGACTAGGGGAGGGGGCGCCCCCCTTTCCTTCTCCTCTTCCCTCTCCCTTCCCCTTTCCCCCCTCCGAAAGAAGGAAAAAGAGAGGGCGAATCCCACTAGGACTAGAGTCCTAGTAGGACTCCCCCCTCCATGGCGTGCTCCTGGTGGCCGGCCTCCTCCCCTCCTCCTTTATATAAGGGGGCAGGGGGCACCCCAAGGCACATCAATTGTTCAGCTGTGTGCGGTGCCCCCTCCACCGTTTTACTCCTCCGGTCATACTATCGTAGTGCTTAGGCGAAGCCCAGCGCGGATCACTTCACCAACACCGTCATCATGCCATCATGCTGACGGAACTCATCGACTCCTTCGTGCCTCTACTGGATCAAGAGTTCGAGGGACGTCATCGAGTTGAATGTGTGCAGAACTTGGAGGTGTCGTACGTTCGGTACTTGATCGGTTGATTCGAGAATACATTCGACTACATCAACCACATTAAGTTAACGCTTCCGCTTTCAGTCTATGAGGGTACATGGACACACTCTCCCCTCTCGTTGCTATGCATCTCGTAGATAGATCTTGCGTGAGCGTAGGAAATTTTTTGAAATTGCATGCTACATTTCCCAACATTCATGTCTCTGTCATATAAACTTTGGTTGCATGATAGGGCTAGCCAAGTTGGACTTAATCCTTAATTTCACTGTTTCAAGGGATCTAAGTGTCAAGTTTGTGTGCACGCTAAGCAACCTGTAAGTCTCATACAACTGCGGAAACAAGAAATCTTGCGCGACTAGAGCTTGTACATTCAGGTCCTTGTGAAATGAATGGTGTTTTGATAAAAGGTGAAAAGAAATATTTTATGACATTAATTGATGACTCCACTAGATACTGTCATGTGTATCTCCTGAAATCAAAAGATAAGGCTTTGAATTTTTTCAAGATCTATAAAGCTGAAGCAGAAAACGGACTTGATCGAAAGATCAAAAGGCTTAGGTCCGATCGTGGTGGAGAGTATTTCTCCAATAATTTTGATTCTTTCTGTCCAGAACACGGTATAATCCATGAGAGGATGCCTCCCTATTCATCCTAGTCAAATGGGGTAGCCCAACGAAAGAATTGTACTCTAACCGATTTGGTTAACGTCATGTTAGACACATCGGGTCTCTCCAAGGGCGGGGGAGGCGATATTGACTGCATGTCATGTCCTAAATCTAGTTCCCACAAAGAACAGAGAGATACGTCCTGAATGGGAGAAGAAATGGTTAAAACACTCTTACCTATGAACTTGGGGCTACTTGGCGAAAGTCAATGTGCCAATTCCAAAGAAGCGCACGCTTGGACCAAAAACTGTGAAATGTGTTTTTCTTTGGTATGCTTTTCATAGGATTGGTTATAGATTCTTGATTGTAAGACATGCATGTCGGTACAATCATGGAGTCGAATGACGTGACTTTCTTTGATATGAAGGATATGGCTAGCTCGTCAAATCAGGAGATGCCTAGCTCGTCAAGTTATGACTTAGTTACAATTTCTGAACCTACCATTCTGATGCAACATCTTAAAGATCTTGTGAAGGACAATAATGAGACTCCTAAAAGGAGTAAGCGATAGAGGACTGCAAAGTGGTTTGGTGATGATTTTCTTGTGTATCTCATGCATAGATGACACTCCGAGTTCTATTTTTAAGGCCTATGCATATGAAGATGCTGACCACTGGAAGGAAACGGTCTGTAGTGATGGATTCCATCTTGGCAAATGAAACTTGGGAGATCACTGGTCATCCTTATGGGGTGCAAACCTATAGGGTACAAATGGGTATTCAAGAAGAAGCTTAGGCATGATGTACTATTGAGAAGTACAAGGCACGACTCGTGGCCAAGGGTTATACTCAAAAGGAAGGTGAAGACTTCTTTGATACTTACTCACCCGTGGCTCGACTTACCACTATTCGAGTATTACTTTCACTAGCCGCCTCACATGGTCTTCTCCTTCATCAATTTGATGTTAAGACTGCTTTCCTAAATGGAGAGTTGGACGAGGAAATTTACATGGAACGACCAGATGGGTTTATAGTGGACAGTCAGGAAGGAAAGGTGTGCAAATTGTTGAAGTCTTTGTATGGACTTAAGCAATCACCTAAGCAGTGGCATGAGAAGTTTGAAAGAATTTTAACAGATACAGGGTTTGTTGTAAATGAAGCTGATAAATGTGTATACTATCGCCATGGTGGGGCAAGGGAGTTGTTCTTTGCTTGTATGTTGATGACATATTTATTTTTGGAACAAATCTAAATGTTATTAAGGAGGTCAAGAATTTTCTATCTCATTGTTTTGAGATGAAGGATTTAGGAGTAGTTGATGTTATTCTGAACATCAAGCTATTGAGAAATAATGATGGTGAAATTACATTGCTTCAATCTCACTATGTGGAAAAGATCTTAAGTCGCTTTGGTTATAGTGACTGCAAGCCCTCTCCAACATCATATGATGCTAGCATGTTGCTTCGAAAGAATTGAAGAATTGCTAGAGATCAATTGAAATATTTTTAGATTATTGGCTCGCTTATGTATTTAGCAAGTGCTACAATACCTGACATCTCTTTTGCTGTCAGCAAACTGTGCCGATTTGGTTCAAAATCGGGAGCTGATCATTGAAAAGCTCTAGAGAGAGTTATGCGTTATTTGAAAGACATTGTGAATTATGGAATTCACTACACTGGGACCCAAAGATGCTTGAAGGGTATAGTGACTAAAACTAGATCTTGGATGCTGATGAGATAAAGGCCACGAGCGGATATGTGTTCACTCATGATGGTGGCGTTGTTTTTTAAAAGTCTTGCAAGCAGACCATCTTAACGAGGTCAACAATAAAAGCAGAACTCCCAACACTAGATATAGCTACGGTCGAAGCTAATTGGCTTCGTCGGCTCTTGAATGACTTGCTGGTTGTTGAGAAAGTTGTACCGGGTATCCTTATGAACTGCGCCGACCATTGACGCATCGTCTAGCTCAAGGGACGACATGATAGCTCGGTACGAGTTTCTAAATGAGCTCACGGCTGGCTCAATATCATACTCGAGCGGCGCGCATGGCCTGCATCGACCACATCATTCTTCCTTTTGTTTTACACTGCACACGTTGCCTCTGGCCTTGGGTTCGTAGCAGCCTATCTGACTCTCTCAGTTTTCTATTCAAGGTCATAGAAATAGGTGTCTAGGGTTAACCAAGAAGAAAATTACGCGTATCAAGAAGTATAACAGCTGTGCGATTCTGATGTTAATGTGGCCTGTGGTAGTAGTAGAATTTTGTTTTGGCCTAGTGGGAGTATTTCATTATACAGAGGTGTACTGGTAAGCATCTTCCCCGGCCCACTCCCCTCTTCCGGTGCACTGTAATATTCACATTTTCCAAAGGGCTAGATGACACACCAAAGCCAAAGTGCTCAGGTTCACGGCAAAAACCCTCTGCGTGAGCAACGCCGTTCGCCACTCTGCCACGATCAGTGGGAAGTGAATGCCTGCACAGTGCCCCATGACATAAAATGATCTGCATGAGAATCACAGAAGCAAACCATACTGGCAATGGAGAGTTAAGTAGCCAACCATGTGTGTACGGCTACGTACCGAGAAGATGTTGCAGTGGCCGGGGTCGGCGAGGTGCGCGGAGAGGTTGTCGAGGGGGCCCTGGCCGGTGTAGACGGCCTGGAACCAGAAGCCGACGAAGGCGAGCATGGCGAGGCGGCCGTTCTTGATCTCCTTGGTGCGGAGCACCATGACGGGCTCCGGCGAGCCGCGGCCCCAGTTGCCCCAGTCGAACCACAGGCCCCCCGGGTACCCCACGTCCGGGGTGGGGTTCTTGCGGTTGGGGAACCGCGGCTCGATGTCGACGGACCCCGGGTTGAGGTAGTCCATCCACCGCCGGCCCTCCACCCACCCCATGAGCGCCACCTGGGTGACGAAGAGCGTCAAAGGGTCCGCGAAGTACTCGCGCTCGCCGGCGGTGTACCAGGAGAACTCCTCCATGAAGCCCCACTTGTGCAGGATCTCCGGGACCAGGATCCCGGCCGCCGCCAGCATCGCCCACCGGCCGTGCATCAGCTCCGCCTGCGCGAACCACCGCAGCGACTCCGGCTCCGATCCGAATCCGAGAGGATCAAATCCGAAGTCTCCCGGAAGGCTGAAGGGGAATGGCAGCACAGGAATAATGCCAGAGACGAAATGAAATTCAGCACGTATTTTCCTCGAACTATGCATGGTATGAACTCGGTCCAGTTACCTACCTGCCGTCGAGCCACGGCGGAGGAGCGGTGCCGGGGAACCAGACGGGCCGGTCGGGCCCCAGCGGCTCGCACACCGTGGACAGGCTGCTCTTGGTCGCGCCAGTACGGTGGCCGCAGCCCCGACGGACGGCAGCGCACGCTGCCGCAGCAGCATTCTGCAGCGGCGGCTTCGGTGCATGCAGCGCCCGGATACTAGCTCGACCAGAAAAGGCGAAGGTTCAGCAAAAAAGGCTAGCAGGAAACCCGGATGTTTCGGACAGGGACTAACCGGAGTGTCGGTGATTACCTTGGTTGGAGGCTGCATGCTGCGAATGAGCCAGTGGGCAGAGGAGTCGCCATGGAGGATTCCGGGGAGAGAGGGGCGGAAATTGCACTGCGCCCGCGAGCGGGTTATCTGCTTGGAGCTGAGGATAGGGAGGGAGAGAGGGCGCTGCACTGATCGACCGCCAGCCAATGACGCGTGGCCAGGTGTGCCAACTGTTTTTTTTTAGCAACAGGTTTTTTTTTTTAGCAACAGGTGTGCCAACTGCCAAGTTTTTCCTATCGTAGAAATTGGCCCGTGGGCTTTTTCTAACTTGGATGCCCGTTCGTTGTTTACAGCCTTCTCGATGTCACTGGAAGAAACTAACGTTTTTTTTTCTGTGGGAATGAAAGAAACTACTGCCTCCGTCCATAATACATGACGTTTTTGCAAACTAAAACAGCTTGAGATAGTGAAAAAAGAAACTTGACAGACTACTCACCCTAAATTTGTTTGGACGGACTAAGTACTGTTTGACAATTGGGAAAAAAACTTCAAAAGATACTTGACCAATTTTTTTACCAAATGTATCCCTGACAAAAGGAAAGTTGATTAATATTACATTTCAAAGACACTAGTACTTAGTGTCACAAATCATTGTCTTTCTCAGTCAACTAAGGTAGGTTCTCGCCTCCCTCATAAAATAAAAGTTGGTTCTCAGTTCTCACCCCCTGTGAATCTATAAATCAGAGAGCATGCTGCGAAAGAAAACAAAGAATACTCCCCTGTTTTTTCATATATAATTTTAAAGCCAGACAAAATCAAACCAAAAGAAGCTGTGCTGCCATTGCTTCACCAAAAGACTAGCGCAATAAGATTTGTTCCAGAAGGGACAAGGTGTTTTACCTCTATAGTTGTACTGACGTTATTTTGAAGACCGTTTGACAGAGTGAGCTTTGCAAAACGACCATAAAAAACACCTAGTGTTAACATTGTTCGTGAAGTCTTAATTGCTTAATTGGTGTGTAGATGTGTAGAAATACAGGGCTGAAATGGGAAACGAGCTGAATCATTCTATGACACAGTATAGACAAGCCCCGGCCTCCTTAAATACATGCCTTAGACAGAGGGGTATGTAAACAGCTACAACCAAAATTTCCTGTGTATGCAGTAAAACAAGACTAAGCTCATCACTGGATACTCCTAAATAATACAGTGAAAAGAACCACCGTGTCAGAAACTGTAGTCGATATCTGAAATGTTCTGCAGTGTCGATTGTTTAACCATCTCGCGCCGCTCATTGTACAGGTCCAGGTTCTTGCAGGGCACAGGGAAAACATAGCCGATGACCTGCCCCTGGACGAAGGAGCACTGGAAAACATGGTGCTTCTTGTCAAGTATGCCAACCGACATATCATGGAAAGTAACATTCCTCACGGGGATCTCTGCGCTCCCTTGTATCCTGACGGGTACCCGCACCCTTTGCCCATGGATTGACGTATACGAGATGTTGCCGACAACGGGAACTGCCTTCGGGTCAAACCGTTCATCTGGGTGTTCATTATAGTCGGTCTTTATCACGATGCCAACACGGACATTTTCTAGGGTTATGTTTCTGTAGACGATGTTGTTTACATAGGCCCCTCTTCCAGGGGCAGTCTTTATCCTCACACCTCGCCGCGAACTCCAAATGTGGACGTTCTCTACCAAAACGTTTGAGACACCACCAGACATCTCGCTTCCTATAGACACGCCAGCACTGTCCAGAAGGGAAAAGAGATTAAACACGCAATCAAGCTGATCTGACAAACTTTGACTAGTAACACCCATACATTTCAGAGTAATTCACTGTACATGAAAAGCTGCATTTTGGTACTATTAACGTTCTTATTCACCAATCAAGTTAACAAGTCACTCAACTTATAAATTAACAGATAGGCTAACACAGTGAACCAAAACAAATGAATTACCTGACCATGGAGCGGATTATGACATTGCGAATAGTGATGTTAGTAGACGGACGCCCATAAGCAATTCCATATTGATCCCAACCACTCTTTATAGCTACCCCGTCATCACCAACAGAAATATAGCAATTTTCAATCATCACATTCTCACAAGAATCTGCATAAGCAGTAAGCGCAACTGAGAATCTGAGTGTTGTATAAAATGTTCCAAATCATATAATAAGAAGTTAAGAAACCAAGATAACATGGAAGTACAAAGTTGTAGGGTTCATAAAGAGGCTAGATTGTTATCCAGTCATTGAACAATGTGAGCTGTGGCTGAAGCGAATAAGAGCTCAGGAATCAAGTAAACCGCAAAAGTTGGAAAATGACCTGGATCTATCCCATCGGTGTTTGGAGCCCCAGCAATTGGAGCCAGAATAGTAGTTCCCGAGACTGTGACATCCTTGCAGTCATATAGATGAAGTGTCCAGAAGGGAGAATCACGTAATGTGATGTCAGAAATAGTAATGTTACTTGACCGCATGAGCTGAACAAGAGGACCCCTGGTGTGATTGAGGAGTTTCTTGCGAAATTTGATCCACCAACTTTGGCCTTGCCCATTTATAGTGCCATTATGACCTATTATACAGATAAAGAGATGATGAGTCTCAGCTAACGAAATGTCTGGCCAATTTGAGGACAAAAAGGCTGACAGAAAGAATATTTAGCAATTAAATTGGCACATTAGAATCATGGCTACACATTCATGATTATTCTGGTAACAGGTAACAATATCTTCCCATGAATAACCAACAAGACCGTTGGTCTTATATTCAAAATACTAAAAAGGAGGCCTCATAACATAGGATCATCCAACATACTTTCACGGTGGGACTTAAAAGATGATTTATAAGGTAGGTGGTCGCAAATACTGATACTTCATTTTACCAATTTCACTTATGTTCCAACGTTTCGCAATTAGGGTGTTAATTTAAAGGCCACACACGCCATAATGTGATGGCAGTCAATCCTTGCTTTAATTCAGAATACAAAGACAAAGTTCAAAGTAATAATTAAGCATTGAAATGAAGCAAGTAAGCATATAAAGAAAAAACATAAAATTCACACTCTCATGAGCGTTAAAATGCAATAAAGGAAACATACAATACTACCTACCGGTTATAATCACATCCTTCAGGTCTTGACCATGTATGAGACTCCCATATCGAGGTCCCTTGTGCTCTCTTCCATATCCATATGATGGTAATGGAGACATCAATGGCCAGTATCTTTCATCCTTACATGTAAGTAACGCAATAAGCTGTCAATGTTGATTCATTGGAAGAAAATGCACCAAACTGTAAAAGTTACAGCCAGATGATAAGTAAGCAACATCCTAGTCTTTCTGTAAGGTTGAAACAAAATGACATCATTATAATTCCTTTACAGGCTAAGCATGAGTGGACAGGACCAGTGTTATTCTAAAGTTAATGTGAGTCATTAATTCATCATATGGTTTAAGTGTTTAACTATACCACGACTACACTTGTGACTGGTCATACAACCTTGTCAAAACGTGTGAGTGTAAAATTAAGCAAGCTGGTGGAAAGTGCAGCTGAAATGCCTCACCTGGACCCCGAGGATCTCAGCGCCAGCAGCGAGGAAGAGCGTCATGTGGCTGGTGAGGTTAAACGGCGCGGTGAGCCACCGGCCGGCAGGCACGGTGAGCCTCCCGCCGCCCCTCTCCGAGATGGCTGCCACTGCGGCCTCGAAGGCAGCCGTGTTGAGCGTGCGCCCGTCCCCGATGCCCCCAAACTCCTTCAAGTCGTACACCGGCGGCGAGGCCACCCACTGGCCCATCGATGCAGCGGCAGACGGCGCGCGCTTGGGCATGGGCGGCCGGTTGTAGAGCCGCAGGCGGCCCATGGAGGTGTTCTGCCACAGGAAGACGAGCACGAAGCCGACGAGCCAGAGCGCGACCAGGTACGCCCTGTAGGACGGCGAGATCGTCGGCGGCGCCCACCGCCGGTGGTGGAACTGGTGCGTGCCCCGGCTTAGCGCGGCGCGCGGGGAGGACAGCACCGCCGGGCCGGCGGAGGCCGACGCAGCCGCTGCGGCGGCGGCGGCCGCGACGGAGGCGCGCGGGGAGGAGACGCCGACGGCGATCTCCGCCATCGGATCCGGTCGGCGCGGGGGCGGGATCTACGTGCTACGCCGCGCAGTACCAACCGGTTGGTGCGCCTGTCGGGGGGATGCTGCTAGGGTTTTGCTGCCCATGGGGGTTGGGGCGGGGAAGGAAGCGGGAGCGCGGCGGTGGTGAGCCGGACCTCGGGAGCACTAGTTTAAAAAGGGCGGGAGGCGGTGAGGTCACTGGCACTTGAGCGCGGTGGTGAGTGCCCGCGCCTCGGCCGTGGGGTTGGGGGAGGAACCACGACGACGGCCAGCAAGACGGCGGAATGACCGAATAGCCCCCCCTGCGTACTGCCGTCAGCCCGTGCGGGCCGTCGGATGACTGACTCGAGTTGCCGTGGCTCTGTTTGTTGCTTCTACGCTTCCGCTGATGCTGAGCCCAACTGCCCAAGAAGTACTCTCCCTCCGCTTCCTCTTTTTCGTTTTTTTAACAACATCCGGTCTATTCTTCATGTATCATGTCAGTACAGTGACAAATAGATTCAGGTTTTAGACTGCCTCTTTTTCGAAAATGATTCAGATCTTTTATCAAAGTTCAGCAGAAGTACAAAGCATCTCAAACATAATAAAAATTGCATTGAGATTTCAAGACCCCAAACAACCACTACTGCCGCTAGAACGAGCCGCCGACGCGCCGTTGTCGTCGCTCCCCTACAGGAGCCGGCTTGACCTTGTCGATGATAGCCGGAAAGTCTTCATGCACGTGCCCCTAATGGTCAACGCCCTAGAGCCGTTTGTCATCGTCGTTAAACCGTTGCATGGATTAATAAAGAGTAGTTTTGAGTAAGGGTTTTGCTTTCTTGCTTTGATCTTGGAAAAGAAGAAAAAGAGCAAAAGAAATAAAAAAATTATATAATAATCTTATGAAGATTGATGACTTCACATATAAGAAGTATGTGGATTGAAACTTGTTATTGGTTGCCAAACATAGTTTTGGTGATTGTTGCAATTAAAAGGAAGTAATAAAGAAAGAGGGGTTCACATATAAATATATTATCTTGGACATCTTTTATGATTGTGAGCACTCATTAAAATATTATATGCTAAGAAGTTGATTTTAAACAAGGAAGACAATACAATGAGTTATGTTTGCTTATTTTCGAACAGAAGTTATATTGTTATGGATCATGACGCTTGCTTCCACCTCATACTAGCCAAAAAAATTCACCAAGTAGAGATACTACTTGTGCGTCCAAACATTAACCAGTTTTGCCATGAGAGTCCACTATACCTACCTACGGATTGAGTAAGATCCTTCAAGTAATTTGTCATCGGCGCAAGCAATAAAAATTGCTCTAAAATATGTATGATCTTTTAGTGCAAGGAAAATAAACTTTATACGAGCTTGTGATATGGAAGAAATAAAAGCGACCGAATGCATAATAAATTTCTTTATCACAAGCGGCAATATAAAGTGATGTTCTTTTGCATTAAGATTTTCTGCATCCAACCATAAAAGCGCATGACAATCTCTGCTTCCCTCTGGGAATGGGCCTATCTTTTACTTTTTTAAGTACTTACCTTTATGCAAGAATCATGGTGATCTTCACCATTCCCTATATTTTGCTTTTTTATTTTGGCAAGTGTCATGTGTTAGGGAAAGATCTAGACACATATATCCACTCGGATGTAGGTGATTATAGATTATTATTGTTGACATTACCCTTGAGGTAAAATGTTGGGAGGCAAAGTTATAAGCCCTATCTTTGTCTATGTCCGGTTGAGGCTTTGATCTCATAAGTATCGCATGTGTGTTAGTAATTATGAAAGACTAAAGATGATTGAGTATGTGGACTTGCTAGACAAGCTCCTAATTGACTCTTTCTGATGTTATGATAAATTGCGATTGCTTCAATGACTGAGATCATAGTTTGTTGGTTTTCAATAAAGTTTTTGATTCATACTTTACTTTGTGAATGAATTGTCACTCTAGCATAACAAGTTATATGACAACATATTGTTGTTCTAAAGATGATCATGATGCCTCATGTTCGTATTTTATTTTATCGACATATGTATCTCAAAACATGTGAACATGATTATCGATCTTGACTTTCGCTTGAGGACGAGCGAGGTCTAAGCTTGGGGGAATTGATACGTCCATTTTGCATCATGTTTTATATCAATATTTATTGCAATATGGATTGTTATTTCACATTATGGTACAATACTTATGCATTTCTCTCTTATTTTACGAGATTTACATGAAGAGGGAGAATGCCGGCAGCTGGAATTCTACATCGGAAAGGAGCAAATCTGATATACCTATTATGCACAACTAGAAAAGTCCTAAAATTTACGAAGAATTATTTTGGAATGTATAAAAATTATTGGGCGAAAAACCTATCAGAGGGGACCCACCAGGTGGCCACAAACCTGAGAGGGCGCGCCCTACCCCCAGGGTGCGCCCCTAGGGCTTGTGGGCCCCTGCCAGGTCTCCGGTGCCTATCTTCTGCTATATGGTTGGTTTTGACCTAGAAAAAATAGAGAGAGAGTTTTCGGGACGAAGTGCCGCCGTCTCGAGGTGGAACCTGGGCAGGAGCAAACTAGAGCTCCGCAAGAGCGATTCTGCCGGGGAAACTTCCCTCCGGGAGGGGGAAATTGAAGCTAGCGTCATCACCAACGATCCTCTCATCAAGGGAGGGTCAATCTCCATTAACATCTTCACCAGCACCATCTCCTCTCAAACCCTAGGTCATCTTTTGTATTCAATCTTTGCTTCAAAACCTCGGCTTGGTACATGTGGGTTGCTAGTAGTGTTGATTACTCCTTGTAGTTGATGCTAGTTGGTTTACTTGGTGGAAGATCACATGTTCAGATCCTTAATGATATTCAATACCCCTTTGATCATGAACAATAGCATGCTTTGTGAGTAGTTGCTTTTGTTCCTGAAGGCATGGGAGAAGTCTTGTTATGAGTAATCATGTGAATTTGGTATTCATCGATATTTTGATGAGACGTATGTTGTCTTTCCTCTAGTGGTGTTATGTGAACGTCAACTACATGACACGTCACCATGATTTGGGCCTAGGGGAAGGCATTGGGAAGTAATAAGTAGATGATGGGTTGCTAGAGTGACAGAAGTTTAAACCCTAGTTTATGTGTTGCTTCGTAAGGGGCTGATCTGGATCCACGTATTTCATGCTATGGTTAGATTTATCTTAATTCTTCTTTCATAGTTGTGGATGATTACGAGAGGAGTTAATCATAAGTGAGAGGCTTGTCCAAGTAAGGACAACACCCAAGCACCGGTCCACCCACATATCAAATTATTAAAGTAGCGAATGCGAATCATATGAGCATGATGAAAACTAACTTGACAATAATTCCCATGTGTCCTTGGGAGCGCTTTGCTTTATATAAGAGTTTGTCCAGGCTTGTACTTTGCTATAAAAAGGATTGGGCCACCTTGCTGCACCTTTGTTACACTTGTTACTTGTTACCCGTTACGAATTATCTTATCACAAAACTAGTTGTTCCGATAATTTCAGTGCCTGCAGAAAATACCTTGCTGAAAACTGCTTGTCATTTCCTTCTGCTCCTCGTTGGGTTCGACACTCTTACTTATCGAAAGGAGTATGATAGATTCCCTATACCTGTGGGTCGTCATCATTGCATGAGAGTATGTCAGGTAATAGGGATGCCCAGTCCTGAAATAAAAAATAATAATATGATGATAATAAATTCCTTGGAAAGTGTTGGTATGGAAGGCACCCGTGGATACGGCTAGCCATGGATTGTGAAGGAATGGTGGAAAGGTAATAAACTTTTCTTTCTGTTTGGGAACCGCCTATAGTTTGTCTAGCATGGAAGATATTGGGAATTCTCGGTCGTTTTTTTATGACAGGAAAAGCATGCCTCTCAAAATAATTTTATCTCCAATTTAAGCTCTGAGCTCTGGCACATATGCAATTCTGTTCTTCCCTCTGCAAAGGGTCTATCTATTTACTTCTATGCAATTTTTCATTTTTATTTAAGTCTCCATCTTCTCTTATAAAGCACCATCTAGGGAACATTATTGCCATGCTTGTGTATTGGGTGTAGCTAATATTTGAGTGTGTTTCATGAATGGATCAATGATTGAGCATAATGGACTAGGGATAGCTTTCTTTAGCGTTGATATTCTGAAAGACATGGTTGCTTGTTCATATGATTGAGTATTGATGTCTTCATGTCAAATTATAGACTATTGCTTTGAATCATTCAAGTCCAAATATCCATGCTACAAAGGAAAATAATATATGATGAATGTGATAGGTAGCATTCCACATCAAAAATTCTGTTTTTATCATTTACCAACTCAAGGACGGGTAGGAATTAAGCTTGGGGATTCTTGATACGTCTCCAACATATCTATATTTTTTATTGTTCCATGCTATTAAAGTATCAATTTGGGATATTTTATATGTCATTAGATGAAATTATACATCATTTTTTGGGACTAACCTATTAACTCGGTGCCCAGTGCTAGTTGTTGTTTTCTGCATGTTTTTGGCTTTTCAAAAAATCAATATCAAACGAAGTCTAAATGGAGAAAAAACTTTCGATTAATTTTTTCTGGACCAGAAGATACCCTAGAAGGTTCGGGACGATGCCAGAGGAGCCACGAGGGAGCGACAAGCCCTAGGGGTGCGTACCAGGCTTGTGGGCCCCTCATGGCACGTCAAGCCCTAATTACACCTCTATAAATACCCAAATATTCCCCTGACATCAGAGAGACACCCGAAATACTTTTTCCGTCACCGCAAGTTTCAGAACCATGAGATCCCATCTGGAGGCCTTCTCCGGTACTCTGCCGGAGGGGGATTCGATCATGAAGGGGGATCTACATCATCCTTGCTGCCCTTCGATGATGCGTGAGTAGTTTACCACGAACCTATGGGTCCATAGTTATAAGCTATATGGCTTCTTATCACTTTTTGATCTTCAATAAAATGTTCTCCATGGTGTTATTGGAGATCTATTCGATGTAATGACTTTTTCTG